ATTCATACAACACTACATCCTTTATACATATAGTTCAGTGATACATAGTAAAGTTAACAATCTGTAGAAGAAATTGAAACGAATACCGATCCTATGCTTATCTTTCTTGTTGATCGATAGAACTTCTTTCTTATTATTTTATAGTATATGTCGTGGTAATAGAATGCAATCTTAGGTAGAACTTGGAGCATGAACTTAATTGCATCTAAGTCTTTTGATCAAATCTTCGAAGATTTTTGTTTTGCATACAAAATATTTTTTCGTGACGAGTAATAGAAGATTACGAATTTATTTAGAGAAAAATTAAGATACTTATTCTTATTAAGTAGAAATGCATTCTTTTCGATAACATGATAACATTATTATTCTTTTATGAATCAGGAACATGACATAAACAAAGTGTTTTCTTTTTGTTTCAAATGAAATTTCATCTCAAAATATGTTGAAAAACTGATATTTGATGTGAATAAATACTCTTCGTTTATTTAATTTAATATCGAGAACTAATGAAATAAAACAAAAAACAAAACATTGACATGCTTTTCTTTTGAATGAGATACTTTATCAGATATAACATTAAAAATAATGACTTGACATATGAGCAAAAATAGAATAAACTAAATCTGACTGTTTTCTTCTTCTTCTTTGCAACTGTTCTTTGATGATGATATAGTAAACCAAGACAGTCATAGTGTGATAGCTAGATAAGAAATTAATCCTTTTCTGTTTAACTATCAGAGACAGGATTGGTTCTCATTTATTCTGAAATCAAACCATACTGACTCAAAACTTGTAATAAGCTACCAAATGTATTAGACAAGGGAGAAAAATCTATCGGAACTTGCCTTGGAGCAATCAGAAAAGCGAAATAAATGTTCCCAATGAATAAAAGTATAAGATAAATCATTACTTATTTATTGACATTAAGCCAAGACTTTAAGGCAAACAAGATTTCTTTAGTTTTCTCGATTTCTTCCTGTAGGTCAATTGTTATTTTGAAGGATCGCTCCCAACTACAAACAGATTCTCCATTTCTAACCAGTTCATATTGAATCAATCCAATCTGTAATAATAATCAAAGAACGACTGAACAAGAAGAAGAAGAAGAAACTAATCTGGTTTGTTTATTATTATTTTCTTCTGTTTTCATTTGTATCTTATTTAAGTTTATAGAAAGTAAAGTCATGAATATGATCATACACTATAACAAAAAAATTTTTATAATCACTATTTAAGTAAAAACATTTTAATTGATTAGTTCTAATAGGAATTTTTCCAGAAAACTTAAAACTTCGAACTTAATCATATAATATTTTAAAACTCGACTGGTTTTTTTTTATTAACATAATCTTATCAGATTAGTTTTTAATTATATTAAAGTTGATATCAATTTACTCGTTGATTCATTTTTTTTTATCAAATCAATGATAGTAAAGTAAGTAATGCAGAACGACGACTAAATACAAGACTTAATTTATTTATAGACTAATTTTGTATCAATAACGAGTTGTTTTTAAGATTACAGATACGATCTAAATAGCTATAGATGAATAAATGGTTCTTTTCATCAATGATGATATTCATCTTGATCTATAAATACTTTATTGATAACCAAATAATTAATTATACTACATAAAAAAAAGATTAAGTATAAAATGATCTAGCATTGATATCAATGTTTAAACAATAAAAATCAATTTGTTATTTGATCATAAACATAATTCAAAAGGTGTCATTTAATATGAAAAAATTAATAAACGTTATTTGATCATTATTTCAAAACATGTCCTACAGTTACCAAATAAGACGTATTTAAAATGAAAAAAAAAACAAAAGAGTCTTTATTCGAAACTAAGTTTTCAGTGAATTGTCAATTTATTAAAATATGATTGACATATTCTGACGTTTTCTTATTTCGTCAAAAACATTTGTAATTTTTTTTTTAATGCGAACATGCTTGTAGTCATTCATTGAGTTGAAACAATTTTCTGTCAATCTTGTCATCGATGGGTTTAAGACCTTTAAATATAGAACAAAAGAATTCATATACAAAACTTGGAAATCAGTCATTCATTCATAAATAAGAGTCTTCTTTTTCTTTTTAAGAGTTTAAGAAATTAGAAAAAAAAATGTGTAGATAATGAAGCTTTTGTAAAATGAGATACTTGTATAGAATAAAGAAAGAAGATTATCTAAAATTAGATAACTAAATAAGACACATGAGATTCTATTATATCGAATATCTTTCAAATATGAAGTATTTCATATTGTCATTGTTCAATGATGGAGACATTAATACAAAATATTGTTCGGATTATAATTATTTTACTCATTGTATCTCTTTGCCACATACAGACGTTACGTCAGTAATTTTCCAGAAGAAAAAACCGTTAGTTGAATCTCTTGAGAATATGTAAGTTTTGCCAATATGCAAAGATAATCCTCCGAGACAATATCAGCAATCACTACCTTTACAATCAGATTGAAAAAGCATTATTATTGCAATGCAATATTCTTGTTTCTTGTGATGTATATATGCTTTTATTCGTCTATCTCGGAAGTTCGTTTAACTGCAATGACATAGACAGCACATCGGGTTTTTATTTTCATTGTCCTGGTATTAATGCAGATGTCTTTATTGTTAGGAAGTATAGTAAATCTTGATTAAACCATGAAGATAACTATCGATCGAGAACAACTGTAGAATAGATTCATCTGATTTGCATTTTTTTGTGCATATATAAAATTGAAGATATTTGATACTGGTAGTGCCATAATAAATGTCCTTATTTTCTATTAACAACAGATATTTACAAGTCTTGCCTACAAGTTCTTTTTTTTATACCATAAATACTCTTTGTGTAAAAGAATCTAATCTATTTCTATCTATGTTACAAACAGATAATATGAATGATAAGTAAGCTATTAATATCATAAAAATATCTATCTATTCAAGCAGAAAAACTATATTCATTTTCGGTAGTTTCCATCATCTTCTCGATTGTTAGACCAATACATTTAGTTACTGATTGTTAAAAGCAAGAGAACAATAATAAGAAGTGATACATAGCGGAGACAGAGAGAGAGAGAGAGGGAGAGACGTATCTTTATTCATGTGCATGTACATTTTCATTTATATGTTGTTAAAGAAAAAGATAAGAAAGTCTATCATAAAAATAATAACCATAGAGTATAATATTAACAATAAAAAAACAATTGATTATAGAAACGTGGACTTTTGAAAGAAAAATAGTCATTTCGAAGAATTTATTCTTCTTCGTCTTCTTTCTTCGTTCTATTTAAAACTCATGTCAATGATAATGATGATGATGATGATGATGATAAGAACTAGAATAAGAACTAAAAGAATAGAAAAAAAAAGAGAGAATAGAATGGTGATGAAGATAATGATGATGATGATTTTTCCATATTGAACAGAGAAAATGTTTTTCTTCTTATTTTTTGTGACGTTATTTTGTTTCCTTGGAGCAATATTATATATAATAAATAATGAGACAACCATTAATATTATCTGATGCAAGCAGACTAAGATTATTGAAACGCAAAACGGTAGTCTTTGGTCTTATTTTTTGTCGATAGTTAGATCCTGACTTTGATACTTATCAAGAGAATAGAAAAGGAAATCAGTAAGTTCTCTATTTCCGATTTATAATTTGTGAACTCTATAACTGATAAAATGAAGAAACATGACAACATAGAGAAAGAACAAATACAAGTACAAAGTCAGAAGAATAACTAATGAGAAAATAGAGTCTCAATACATACACTTTTTCTCTTTGGTGTCTATTAGATGACAATAACATTAAACTCATTTGATGTTGAATGTTACTTTTCTGTCGTTATTTCTAACTGAAAGCCTCTTACTAATCATGTTGTCATTATATATGTACAGCTGTAAATATATTTGTGGTCGACGTAAGTATTGATCAGCTAAAACTAATATCGAATATGTATAATTATTGTCTTGTCATGAGTTTGACAATCAAAGAGTTATGAATTATGCTAGCATAAGTAAAACACGAAAGAAATATATAGTAATCTTGTTTCTTCTTGTCATCTTCATCTTTCTTCGACCTGTTTCTTTTTAATAGACATTCATTGTAATAATCTATCAATGAACTTGCCCTCTTGGATGTATTTATTTGTCATTTTCATTATATTCTTTTTTCTTCAATACATGTCAAATTGTTAATTGATGACATTTTCTTTTACTTCTTCTAATGAAATTAAAAAAGAAAATGCTATGCCAAATACTAGATATATATATATTATTAATTAAACTTTACTTATTATAAGAGTGAAATTTTTATGTCGATATATTCAAGATTAATTATTCTTTTTTTTCTATTTATTCTCGACAAAATACGTTTATTTTTAAGAGTTTAGTCGAAATAAAAGGCTTTTTAGGGAAAAGTCAACAAGTGATTATAAAAAAAAATATATATTGTGACTTTATATGCGTTTATTATCGCATGTCCGGAAATCGAATGATGATATACGCATTTTTTATCTTATCATACTATAGTGAACAACCATTACGTTTAGTTTTTTTTTTTGTTTCTAATATAAATTCATTTGTTTTCGCTATCATAAATACGCTTTGTGTGTATATATAAGTCATTTGATTTACTTCTCATTTGAACTAATAGATGTCGATAGAGCAGTAAGAGAGAAAGAGCGGGAGAGAGAAGAAAATGATGATAGTCAAGAAAAAAAATGAAGGAAAAGAAAACAAAGAGAAAAATAGAAGACGACTCAAGGGAAATGAAGAATGTGTGCTGCAATGAAAAAAAAAAAAATCTTTCTCTATATCTAGTATGTGCTGTTGAATAAATACTTCCATAGAAAAAGATCTACATGTTAACTTGATTAGAGCTATCTATACCTCTTTTATTTTTCTAAAGCTAAAAAAAAGTTATTTCTAGAACAAATCCTGACTAGATTACCTTTTACTATTTATTTTTCCCGAATTTACAACAATGAATAAAACAACAGTAATTATATCAAACGGCATATCAATAAATATTAATTCAACAATGTCTTATCAAACAATACTTATTGATCAAACTTTACAACAACCAACAAGACAAGCAACATTTATTGGTGCAATACTTGCATTTGTTTTCATTTTTTTGGGTCTTGTTGGTAATATACTTCTTATAACAACAATACTTTCTGTAAAAAAACTTCGAACAAATATTATTAATATATTTATTGTTTCGGTAAGATATGATTTATTTTAATTGCAAGAAAATACAAAAATAAAAAATAACTAAAATTATTTTTCAAACAACATAGATAAACATATACGCGCACATACATACAAAAACTTCCGTTTTTTTTTCTTTTGTTTCATTTTCTTCTTTTTTGTTAAGTAGACAATTATCGAACAATTTCGTCATCTAAAAATAAGAAAGAAAACATACCGGAAATCATTTTCACTTATAGTTGGATCATGTGCATTGACAATGATTGCCAATTAGTTTAATCATGTTATTTGTTGTCAAAAAATTCTCTGGAGTGTTGATCAATAAACAAGTTCTCACATAAGTTGTTATAGCAGAATTAATTAGTTTGCATGAGAAAATAAAACTAATTTAATAATAACACATAATTAAACCTCTCGTTTTAATGCTAGAAAATCTCGATTTATTCATTTATCAATTGAAAGAAACATCATGGGAATGGCAATGAGACTGAGGGGAATTCAAAAAAATAAATCGGAAATAAGCAGAGCGCATGCATAATATCTGCTGATTATTTTTCCAAAAAAAAACTATTCCCTCGTTAAAACATTAAAACACACTGAAAATATTAAACATCTTGGGATATATATCTATTGTCAATGATTAAATGATCTTAATCTATATAATATGAAGAATGTAATCAGATAATGATCTTCAACTGATTGAAAACACACGCACGCATACACACGCAGTATTTTCACTATTTTCGTAAAAATTTCTATTTGTTTTTGTTTTTTTTAATTTTTAAGTTACAATTCAATGATTTACTTAATATTGGTTTCAATCAACTCTTTGTTGGCCTTTCCTATGCTAATCGTGGTTGGCTTGGTGGACCTTTAATATGTAATTTAGTTGTCTATTTTTCAACAGTTTGCATGGGTTGTCTTCTATGGCATCATTGTCTAATTGCTATACATAGATTTATTGTTGTCGTTTATCCAAGCTTATTACGTCGTATGTCTGTTAAAACTTATGTTATTGTTTCACTTGTTGTAACACGAATATTACCAATAATTTGTTGTATACCATCATTTATAACAAATTCAATTGAATATTCATCTCAAGCATTACGTTGTTCAATACGTAGTAAATTACAAATATTTATTAATTTAACTATATTAATTATATTACCAAATGTAATAATAATATTTTGTTTTGTTGGAATATTTTGTCATGTTTATCATGCATCATATACAAGTGGACGTACAAATGGAAATACAGTATCAATATCACATTCATTAAGACGTGAAATACGTATTACAAAAATGTTTGCAGTTTTATTTACATTATTTTTTCTTGGTTATCATCCATATGGTTTTGTACGAGCCTATGATAAACGTCGACAATTACATCCTGATATATTTGTTTTATTAACATTACTTTATTGTATATCAATATGTGCATCACCATTTGTCTATGGTATAATGAATAATCAATTACGTCATGAATGTATGAGAGTTATATTTAATTGTTGGCATTGTCAAAAAATTGATGATTATAAAAAATATTCTCATCATCGTTTAAATTCAACTACAACACAGGCATTAACTGTAGTTAATGATACTGGAGATGATTATCAAGCTAGTCAATCATCAGTATCTATGCGAGATTTAACATGTACATTAAAAAGAAAAAAAACTTCAAGCGTAATCATATTTGATACTGCTCATGTTTAAATAAATTGCCGACCTTTTTTTTTTTAAATATGCACGTTATGGTTTTTTTTTTCTCAGCTTTCAAGTAATATGATTACATTTATGATATTGAATCAAATTAAAGTGTAAAATTACTATTCAAGTAGATCTATGAGAATTATTCAAAAACAATCAAACATAAATATTATTATTAAGTGAATGACATCGTCTATATACTTCCAATTTTAGCGAAGACTAACAGATATTTTTCTCATTGACAATAGTTTAAATTTTTTTTCATTTGTAATGTTCTCACAGTACTAGACATTGCACATAACTTGAAATACTTAGAATTTTGAAAATAGAATCAAATTGAATAATATATGTTCATTCGATTGTATAATGAGAATTTTTGAAAAACAATTGCTTAACTTTATATCATACCAGATTCTTCAATTATTGTTATACACTAGTGATGTAAATGCATATGTTCAATTTAGTATCCTTGATAGATAGAAATTTTCGTATTCGAATTTGAATTGTACTTATTTAATTGTTCTCGATACAGATTTGATACTAATATCTCGTGTCTAACATAAGAATTTTGTCAATTATAAAAATGGAGTTAATCAAGTAGTTTATTCTACAGCTGCTGTTTTTGTCATTCTAAAATTCTGTTAGTATTACTAAATATATTTTTCTTTGTCGCTTATGACACTTAAATTAAAAGCAACAGCGAAACTACACAGGATGAATATATATATATATATTTGTTTATATGCATTACTGATTATTGCTATCATGAAAATATACATACACGCTTCGAATAACTGACTTTAGTTCTCGTGTGCTAAGTCAGTTCATCATCAGAAATAGCCAAAAATAATCTCTCCTACTGATTACGCTAGTTATTCTCAAGTGTGCTAATCTGTTAAAATATGATTCAATTATTTTTGTAAATAAATCAAAGTTTAAAACAACTTATAATTACAAACATTTACAGAGTTTGTTGCGTATTACAGACAGATTCGATTTGGTCTTTTTTTTTAATTGTTCGGCATCGAAACCGAATCGACAGTTGATATTTGTAGCCAAGTATCGAATCATGTTGAATGTTGAATACGAAATTCGATTACAAAATTGCAATTGAAAAGATATTACAGTTTAAATTTTGCCACATTTTATGTAAACTGTGGATAATTGGGCGATACGATTGGGTTAATGTTTCGCTAAGCCTTTAATTCTTGTGTCATCAGAACATTTTCTGTCATTTTAAGATAACCTTCGAAAAGTTGTTGAATGTTTTTTTATTCTTGATTACTTCGACATAGTAGATCAGTATATGTATGATATAATCGATATGTAGAGATTCTACAACTTTTATTGGAGGCATACTTATACTTCAAGAACTTCGTAACTTAATTATAAGGCTGATCCATATCGAATATCTGAGAAATTATATTGCACAAAGCTACCAACAGATATTTTCATATTTGCTGTCCTATAATACGAGAGACTTTTCGTTTCGAATAGACCAGCCAATAAGTTTTTGTCTTCTTGAAGAATGTTTAGAATTGAACTGCTGCATGATTAAATACAGATTTTTGAACAATTTTCTAGAAAGCTATTCACATGTTTCATATTCATGACAATAATTAATTTTAAATTTCATCGTAATTTAAAAGAGATCAAGTGATGGGTGTATTTCAATCGTACTTTCAAGATTAATTTTGTAGCATTTTCAATTGATGTCTGAAGTCATACCTCAACGCTGTTACGGAGGCGATAGACAACTGTTGTTGTCATCTCCTGATTGTTGGCTACAAAAAAGAATACCAACTGACAACTGTCAGAGAATTAATCTTTGCAATATTTTTCTTATCCTCTGTTAATTTAAACAAAAAAAATTATATACGGATATTTATTCTCATCTACTGCCTGAACATCTTTTAAAATAATTTTATTGATATTTTTAAAATATACATTATTGCAAATAGTATTATTCAATAATTTGAAATGATCAGCAAGTTTTTCTTTAACTAGCATTAGAGCTTTAATTAAATACTCATTTGATTGTAAAAAAAATAATAAATTCGCTTATGATAATTAGTTTGCAACAACAAAATATTTTTTTGTAACTACAAGTTTTTATTAAATTATATAAATGTTTAATAAGATTTTCTAACTCAGCAGTGTTTGTTTTTGTTTCATTCTTTGCAAGAAAAATTTTCTTCTATACGATGCTTCATTTAAATCGAATGGTAATATATCAACAACAAGATCAATTTTAATTGATTCAAGATAATTCAATCCAACTAAACCCTGTTTTCACATGAAATATAACGAACAATTGTTATATAAGGATTGTCATAATATCGATAGCTCGAGTATCAAGGTTCAAAATATTGCAATTAGGATATTCACTCAACGAATTCTCGATACCCATATGTTACTAAGTTCATGATTTTGAGTGAGCTTGATGTAACTCATATTCAAATAAAACCAAACATCTTGATAGAATCGACTAACAGCTACTCAAAAAAAAAATCGATAAAATTAAGCACATTCTTAGTTATGAGAACAATAAAGTTTGAGATCACGGTTATTTATGATTATAGTTTAATACTGAGAAAAATAATAAAATAATAGAATGTATGTGCTTATATTCCTTGAATATAAATTTGCTTGTTTTCAAGTATAAATAAACGCCCCCGTGTCATGAAATACGTCACAGTTGGAATGATTAATTATAATTCATCGATGATCTTCGGTATATGATGTAAGTCATGATTCTTTGACGATTTCATGACAACCTGAATGACTGAATGATTAAGTAAAATATTCTATGGATATTTTTTTATTTTTATATATTAAAGTATGCAACTGCAAAAAAAGAATAATTTCAAAACTATTTTGAGAATTAGATAGTTTTTTTTTTAATATCCTACACATTCGTACTAAATGTATATTAGTTGATCATTTTTGTTAATACAAAACAAAGGAAGACAAGTCTCTGTTTGCTGTACACGTAATTCATCTCATTTTACTGCAAAAGCTATTCAAAAGTATGATTTTACATGTAAGACATGCTTTTTTTTTCTTCATGGATGAAGACAAAGAAGTATTTTAGAAAAAAATGCAACATCACGTTTGTAATTGTCAATAAAATACAAACAGTGAAGTAGGTGATACTATTATTATAAAATACTCTATTTAAATCTTTGTTTAGTTTATTCATTGACAATTATGGTACAATATTCTATTTCATTTCTTTGGAATAGGTTGAAAAACTGCATGATCGTCATAGCTACGTGCATAATATTTATCACATATCCAATTGATAATAGTTGTTAGTTTAATATGACTATCGGAAACTATTTGAGTAAAAACTGAATTATGAATTATAAAATATTTATTAACGAATCGTAATTTTTAATAAAAATTGAGAAACAATCGACTAAAATCATCTTTTTGAATGATATCATCTCAAAAATTAATTAGCCGAAGAAATCATCATAAAATCATTAAATTCAGGACGATTTTCACCATATTGCTTAATTTAAATCTACCAAAGTAGAAAATGATACCATGCAAGAGAAGGTATATGAATATGAGTCAATAACCTTGTATATGAGGTAAGAATACTTTTGTCAATTGAGAATATCTTATCAAAATATGTTCTGTTTTTTTTTTCAAGTTTCAATTAATCATGAGAATGATAATACAAAATCAATAAAATTAACATATTAGATTTATTAACAATCATGAGTAAGTAACTTATAACAGCTATCATCCTTTATTTTACTCAACAGAATAAAAAAAACAAATCATACTAAGAAAGGATAAGTATGCTGTATCTAATATTAATTAAAATCATTTAATATATAACTAATTTTGTTCATCTTAGAGAATAAATATAATTCACTATTTAATAGTAGGGTAATATTAAAGTAATATTTATATTAATATTAGTTAGTATAGTGCTCATAAGATTGAGAGATATTTCATATTGTAATTCATGATTTACTTTATGTTTTATTATCCTTTTCATCCATGCATATTTCTACTGATAATCAATTTGATCAAACGTTACTTATACATGTTATCATTACAACTGAGATAGTTGTATTGGCTACTATTCATTTATTTAATGATATCTCACTTACTGTTCTTCTTTTTTTTTTTTCATTATGATTTTATCTTGTTAATTAATGACAATCTTTGATTACATAGATCAAAAGAATCCACATCTTAATGGCATCAATTACAACTTTCAAAAGAGAAAAATGTGTTTTGATCACCACAAAAAAATAGTTTTAATCACCAAACAATTTAAGATACAAATGATCACCGAAAAAAGTTACTTTTGATCACCAGATTTTTATCATTCATCTAACATATTTATTTCTCCAAAAAAAAATAATTGAAATAATAAATAGACAAGGAATACTTCAAACCTTTATTAACATATCTATTTGCCGTACGCTGTGTTAGCTTTCTTGGGACGTCTTTTTTCTTCTTCATTTACCTAATTGTTCAACACGTGTTTTATCATTAACTTGGTATAAATTGAATAGAATTCCTAAACCAACCGAATGTTTACAAGAGTAGTCTTTGAGTCCAACCGGACAAGTACATGATTCTAATGGAACAACCAACCAGCAAGATTCTTGCCACACCAAAAAGTCATTAAATATAAGCCAACGACGAGAAATATAAACGTCTAACCAAGTTGAAGAGGACATTTGAGCATTAGATGATGCAACATCACAATATTTAAAAAATCTGGTGATCAAAAGTATCTTTTTTTCGGTGAGCATTTGTATCTAAAATTATGTGTTGATCAAAACTATAATTGTTTCGTCAGACTTGAATCTTAATTTGTTTGATGATCAAAAGTATCTGTTTTTGATGATCAGAAAAATGGTCATCCCTTTCAAAATATCTTCTTATCCATTTTGATATCATTCCTCTTTTTTTTCCTTAGAAAGTTTTTTTTTTTCGGGCAATCACCCATTAAATTCAACAAAAAAAAGTGAAAGACATGATTAAACCGTTTATACGTTTATGACTATTTCAGTTTGAAATTTAAAGATCTTTTTACAATGCTATATGATCTAGTAATTGCTTTAGAAGACATTTATCTTTATCACACCGTAGTTATGAATCTTTGACTTAAATGTCTTAATACACAAATCATTGAAATAAAGTCGTTTATTTAGTTTTTAATATCTGATATATATATATAATTGAATAAAATAATATTACTGACTTCTATTAAAATATGCATCTGATTATACAAATAATTTATGTACTAATTTGAAATTGTGTATCATATGAGAAACCTTTCGTTCTTAATATGTACAACTATGTATACGTGACGTATCAATGTTTCGAGCAAAAATAAATTTACATTGTGTAAAGTTTATATGGTTTTATCTATCGATTTATTTCATTCAAACAAATATGTAAGATAAATAATGATCGGTATATGTTTTTATTAATTAACTAGTTGCTAGGTTTTTGTTTTGGTATAATTTATCTACCAACACATAATGTTCATATGTTTGCATAATTTGTCACAAATGCTAAAAGAAATTTTCACATAAAAAAAACACAGAGTAACTTAATAAAAATACTTTGAATTCATACACTTCTTTATTGACAGATGACTTTCTAACCTTTTTTCTTTTGATACGTTATTATTTGACTGCATAACTCAGCCGATAGTTATTTAGATTGAATAAAGATTACATCACATATGTGAATACACGTATATGATAAAATTTTCTTTTATATCGAAAGAAAGCCAATCCTGCTGTGATATTGACCTCGATATGACATTAAATACTATTGAACTTGTCGATCAAACAAAATATAATATACTATTTTTATCAGTTAATTTTAGCATAGATGAAAAGAAATAATATTTATCTAATGAACCATATGCAATCGTTTAATCAACAAAACAATGATCTAATTATTTTTTCTATACATACATATACACTCACATTCATATACATATATATATGAATACTATTCATTTTATCAGAAAAAAGAAAAGGTTATATTAGCAGACATACATTGAACCGGTCATATACATGTCGAAATGGACAGACATCAACAGTGAATGTATGCATAGATGTTCGAATTTACACTTAGAAGAAAAAAAGAAAGAAAAAAAAACTGCGAACGAAAGAGAGAGAGAGAGAGATGGAGAGTAAAAGAGATTTGAATAGTATAAAGAGTTGCTTTGTTGGTTGATAGAGTGAACGAACAGGTATGGCTGATTAGAAGAATAAGAGGTTAAAGATTTCTTTTTGTTTAAAAGAAATTTTTCTTTTAGATATGACATTTATTTCAATAGAATTTTGTTTTATTACTATTCTTATTTTATTTATATTTATTATTAATATATCTCATATATTATATTTAATTATATGTGATAATGATAAAAAAAATAAATATTTTCGTTTAATACTTTTTAATTTTTCTTATTCATCATTAATTATTGTTATTTGGCTTTTACCATTTTTTTATTTTCGTACTATATGGTCATCAGAATCATTTATTTGGCGTTTATGGTCATTTTTTTTTCATGTGGTTGATGCTGTTCAACTTTATTCTCTACTTTTATTCATTACTAATACAAATATCATTAATTTTTCTTTACAAAAATTCTGTATTTTTCTTAGTTGGATAGCACCTTTAGTTACTTATTCACCAATCTTATGGTTATCATCGCCATATGATAAAATTGATTATTTTCCATATCGTAGATTATCTACTGATGTACCTTGGTGGATATTGCCAATATTATATTCTTGTACGTATCTTGTTCCAATATTTATTTCCGTGATGTTAACTAGTATGACACTTTGTTGGCCATGGATTTATAAACAATATAAAAAACAAAAAAATGCATCTCAAAGACAAGCAAATGAACATCGTGAAAATATGGCAGAATTGACAAGTCTTGTTGAAACAGTTTTAAATTTTGAATTAGATCAATCAACAATAAATACACTTAATGTGAGAAATATTGAATTTTTATTTTCTTTTGTCGATTATTGATGTTTTTAGACATGGGTTCCTTCAATATCTTCACTTACAAATCCATCATCAGGCTCAGAACATAAATCTCTATCATACATTTCAAATACATTGAATCGATCACTATCATATAAAGCTTCACAAGATAATTCATTTGTTATATTCGATTATCTTTCATCATCAATACAATTAAACGATTATATTCAGAAACAACAATCACAAGTTAATTATCATCTATTATTTATTATAACATGCCTTTTATTTCTTGTTCATTTACCATATGTACTTTTCTCTCTCATGGATATATACATATCGCAATTACCGATATTTATTTATATACATTGGTTCGGAACAATGTTCATACCAATTGTACATTTTAAAAAACACTAATAATGTTGTCTCCAATTCATATCATGTGTTGTAGCATATTGTGTATTTTGTTTAGCAAAATCAGGATTAAATTGTGAATTATATCTTCTTTTACGATCATCTGTTTCGATAGGAGTTTGTTCGGGTGTAATTGATGTTGAATCAGTACCAGTAAAAGCTCGTGATAGATAAGCAGCAGTTTTTGTACGTTCTTCTGATTCACGTTTTAATCTAAAAATAAATTATGATTAATGTTAAAATAGAGAATAGTCAAAAACAAAATTTACCTTGCAGCTCTTAATTGTTCAATACGAGAAGATGAAGATGAAGATGATAAAGACATAGATGATGTTGATTTTTTAGCATTAGTCGAAGATGATTTATTTCCATCATCACGTTTTCGTTTTAAATCATCGACATATTTTGACATAGAATTAAGAGGATCTTGTTTTTGAATACGTAAACGATCACGTTCTTCTCTATAAAATTTGAAAATTCTTTTATTTTTTTTATCTCATAAATTATCAATTCATTAAGAAATACCATTCATCACAATATTAGTTTTGAAACTATATATAACAAAAGAATATTTATTTTAGTTTTGAATTTATTAATTAGATAAAACAATCGGAATGGATAGTTTTCGAAATATGTATAGGTCATCTGAACGATATCTTCCTGTTTTCCCATAAAAACTTTTTATATCTTCTATTTTTTGGCTACTTTTTTCTGCTCTATATGTGTTCCAAAAATTCATGTATGTCATTATAAAAGTCGAAAAAGATGAAAAACTTTCGGTGAAATTTACACTTCATTTTACTATTTTTCAAAAATAGATTTTTGTACAAAGAAAAAGAATCATTGTTGTTTCTCAGCCACAACGCATCAGATCGAGTTGAAACTTTCTTCTATTTGCCTAGAAATCTTTTAACGCGTTTGCATATTTTTTTTTGAAAATATGATATATCACCAGTATTTTCCAGGACGTACCAAATAGGCTCAAAGTACAAAAAAAAAGCATGCATTTTGAAGGTTATGTTCACTATTTTGTCCTTTTATTCGAATGGAAGAAGACAAGAACTAAAAAACTAAACTAGGCATCCCAAGAAGTACTATTTTCTAAAAAAAAGAGTAAATTCTATCAGATGTATTGGTGTTGACAAGGTGAGGTGATTAGATGAGAAGATAAAGCAACATATAGCTTTTGCGACCCTAACGTCTTCTAGAAGAGAATATTTAAGAATTTTGAGTATATGAAAACTTTCTTTGCACTCATCAAGGTCTATCTACTTTGAAAGTTTCAAAATTTTCTCATCTTTACTAATAGAAATATTACTTAATCTAATTTTGCTTTAAAGAATTTACACTCCATCGATGGATACATATGAAGAGAGTCGAAAAACAATGCACGGGTGTGGACCTTCTCGTCATTCACACTCCACATCGTTTTGTAGAAATTCTCATGGATATTTTGTCTCGATTCGATATAATATCTTAATATACTTTTCATCTCAATAACAACTGTGATAAGGATTTATATTTAAACATATAATTCTAGCGAAATTAAAATATATTCTTACCGATCAGTTTTAGACAATTCTTTTGATAGCAGCTGTTTACTTCCTCCTCGTTCCATATACCATGGAACAGTTCCTAGATAAATCATTTTTGTATTAATATTACGAAAAAAAAAGAAAACAAACATCGATCATACCTTTACTTTCTACAACGCTACCACCAAGATAAGTTAATAATCCAATCTTCTTTTCAAATTCTTCTGTTTCAGCTTTTTTCTCTTTTTCATGTTCAGCATTAGTAGCATCACTAGTTTTTAACTAAATATAAAGTAAATGAATAAATAAATATTATCAATAATTAGATTTCTACATACTCCTTGTTCTTCAAGTTGAAATAAATTTACATGTTCGGTTGGTGTTGGTTTTGAGGATGCATCTTCTGAGCCTTGAAATTGTATTAAATGATCACCACGTTGAACTCTCAGATGATTAAGACGAGCTTCTTGTTCCTTAAAAATAAATTTATAATAATTGGAAAAAAAAAATAACCAAATATATTCAATGAATAATTTACAGCCAAAGTTTTTCTTCGAAGTGCGTTTTGTTCTTCTTCGGCTGCTTTCTTTTCATCACGTAAAACCCGAGCAATATTATCTTTGTTTCTAACATGCCATCGTTTTTTTGGTAAGATATTCATATCTAAAGAACTAAAAGAGTTTTCATATTACGCTTATATATATAGTTATTAGATGAACGAAATTTTTTTATGTAATAATTAAGAAGATATGAAAGAAATACTTCACAGATAAAAATAAAAGAAAAACGTAGGATTGGAAACATAGTTGTTTAGTTTAACTTGATGATTGAACTGTTTCTGTAGATGAAGAATCTTTTGTTTGATCTTTGTGTGATTGGATATCACGTTGAGGAGATTGATGGCCATCAAGACGTCCTTGTGATTTACGTAAATTCCAATGAAGTATATCGGCTAATGATTCAAACCAATCACCCAATTGATCAAATCGACATATAGATGGTACTGGATAAACACTTGTTGTTATGTGTACACTAAAATATTATCAAATATAAAGGCAAACATTATACTTTTCTTCTTCTCGATCTTCTTACCTATCTTGATGGTGGAGTTCATGTCGATTTCTTCCATCAACTGATAGCCATGCCGTAAGACGAGTTTCTTCTGAAACTTTTACTTTTAATTCAATACCAGCTGGAACAACAATTGGTCGAAATGATAAAGAATGTGGGCAGATAGGACATATGACCATGGCAGGAACATTGGGATGAACCATCGATGCACCGGCTACCAAAAATCTCCGATTATTAAATAATAGAAAAAGATAATGATAGAAACATACCTGCCATTGCATAAGCTGTAGAACCAGTAGGAGTAGAAACAATCAAACCTTAAGCAAAAAAAATCGTTGACTAATTTTTTCGAAATAGAATATGACAAAAACATCGAGTTCAGACTGAATAAATAAATGAGATCAAAAAGAAAGATTGTGTAATACCTTCAACAACATATATAAAATTCTAATGTTGAATATGATTCTGGATTCTGTTGAGTGATATATATAGTTTTGAAGATAAGTAACTAATGCTTATGAAGTGCTACTATTCTTTATGGTATTGAGCTGATAGTTTGGGTGCATATGTGCTTGTTACATGATCATCTTACTTCAATCATATTGCCACAAATGTTTTCTTTCAATCTCTTACTCGAAAGACTCCTGTTGTAGTGCTTTCTCTAGTCCGAGCCTTGAAATAATTGAGATATCGTCTTCTTATTAGGAATGTCTATCGAAGAGCAAAGTGTCTTGTTTTCTACGACTAATTTATTTGACAATTTGATTGGGAAGTTTCCATGAGACACCAAATTTTTATTGAAAGTTTTAGAATCATTGAATTGAATGAAGTCAAGTTAGAACTACGACATGGATTCATTCTTTCACAATGCCCTAAGTACTAAGATCTTTATTGTGATGCACGAGTTTTAGTGATAAATAAAGTAGGCAAATAGAAATACCTTTAACGCTAGAAAAAGAAACAGTAATAACTGTTAGAATAGCAAAATAACAAACAAAAAGTTTTTTAGCACATATTTTCATTGAATATGTTTTTGACGAGAAAAAGAAGATGTGCGAATCATAATTTCAATACATATGAATCAAGAGAAGGAGAGTGGGTTGGTTTTTTAAATCAGGCTTTATTATCACATGCATGCAAGCAAACTATCAATTCAATATCACAAAGAATTAAACCATATTAAATAACTTTTTCATTTTTAATAAAGGGATCAATCATAAAGAACATTCAGATAATTTACTATGAATGTTTTCTTTCTTTTTTGCACACAAATTTCGAGAAAAGTTTCATGGTTAGTGTGTTTTGAAAAACATTTTAAAATAGAAAATAAACTGAATGGATCAGCTGAATATGTATACGATGTTGAAATAATCCAAGACTGTACTGGATGAGTAGATAATTATTTTTTCGAGTAACTATATGAAATTCTCACGTGTCATTGATATTGAACATAATTTTCTGTATTGCCATTTTTACCATGGTTGTTTAACGAATCCAGGCGAGTATGGATCTGAAAATTTTGAACTCCGCAGACTTCACTAGGCTTCCAAGAAAGAAGAGATGTAGATGAAACTGAACAGAGGGGATAGGTCAATAATGCGATTTCCACTTGAATGTCATTAACGGATGACCTTTATTAGATTATCTCAAATTTCATTAGTTAAACTAAAACATTTATTATCATTTAGTTAAGTATTACTATTCTTTTTACTTACCATCACCTTGTACTTTTGTAATAAATCGATCATTAATATATAAATCAAGATTTGATAAATATGAATTTGGTCCACGATCAATAACAACTTCATTTAATGCTAAATGTGATATTTTATCATCTTTATTTGCATGTTTATTATTATCATCACTTATTGTATCATCAGATGATGTCGAACGAAGTGATGCTGATGATAATGATTGTCTTTTTAAACCTTTAACAATTGAACATTTTAAGCGCGAACGTAATAAAACAGCAACATTGCCTGATACAACTTCATTTAAAATTTTTTCATGATGTTTAAAATCAAATGGAGTTAAAAATCCAAGTGAGCCCATTGAAAATGATAAGACAGGTGGACAACTTTTTTGAAATATATTTGACACATGCAAAAGTGTACCATCGCCACCCATACAAATAATTAAATCAATTTTGAAAAAATCATTCTCTAGAATCAAATATCAAAATAGAACCAAGATAAAACAAAAACAAAAAAAAAGATATTATTTAAAAATAAAACCGTGATCGAAGGCATGACATCGTTCAGCATGTTCTTTTAATTCAGAATCAGTTGCAAATGGTAGATGCATATGTTCGGATACTTCAATATAAACATTAAGACGACGCTATGATAATAAATAAAAAGTACATAAAAGTGTTTATTTTCAATTTCGAAACTTGTTTTATAACAGAGTTTCACAAATAACAAATCTTATGACAAATTTATAGCTATAAATTACCTCAATCTTGAGACATATTGCAGTTTTTTCTTGTCAATTAAAGGCGGGTACCATCTCAGAATACTTATCATTAAGACAGTGAATATATATGCTACCTTTTTGAATCAATATCTACTAACTTCGAGGAAGAAGAAACAAAAAGTGTAGTCATTATTCAATCTTACGAGGAAATCAGACGAAGCGATACATCAATTTTGAATGCATAGTTTGAGCATATACAATAGATATTCTAGACTAGAATAGCTTCAAAACGATTCAGCTCATATATATTCACTCCAAAGTTACGATAGTTTTAGGTCATTTATATCATCGGATAGTATATTGGTAGGACAAGGTAACAAAAGAAAGATTTTTTTATCTGACATGTTTTCTATAAGTAGGTTTCATTATTCGGTATATATTCGAAAAGTTTTAGTCAAAATGATTGATTTTTCTATTGAAATATTCGACGTGCCACATAGATTGAATCTGAGGAAATCGAAAATTTTGATTTTAGGCAAAATTTTAAATAAAAATATTCCTTTGTTGTATTTTCCTTCTAATACCCTGTTTGATAGTAAATATTCAGTGGAACTTAAACAATCAATTCAAGCAGTTCTCTTGTTCGTCCTAAAGTTAGTATTAAATATGTTTTTTCTTTGTGTTAAAAAACAGTACAGAAAAGGTAATATTTCTATGAATAATGAATACATTATAGATAAAAGAGATTCTGCACGACATTTTAATTCACAAAATAAATCTTTACTGATTTCAATAGAGAAAAAAATTGAAATAATTCTCTCAACTTGAGTTTTATAGAGACTTAATGTTGATCATCACTAATCGTTTAATATTACCAATACATGACGGTGACCGCTCACTTCGGTACATGACATTTCGTCCCGTTCAATTCGTCCCACACGATTCGTCCCAATTACATTTCGTCCCATTACATTTCGTCCCCTTACATTTCGTCCCAATTACATTTTGTCCTAATTACATTTCGTCCCCTTACAATTCGTCCCAAGTTCATTTTGTCCCTTTACATTTCGTTCCAATTACAATTCGTCTCATATCTTTGCTAAGATCAACTTTTAGTTATTTTAATTAGATGTTGTGTAAATACTTATCGTCGCGTCTATTAATCATCGCGATAATAAACGACCAATGAACAATGAATATATTCCTTTTTTCTATTCTACATATTTATCGAGATTAATTTTCTATTTGTCATTCAACCACGTGCGCTCGTAGTTATTGGCATTTTGTACAAATTTGTACAAATAGTATAAACAAAAATATGAATACTATTGAGGTATGAAAGAGTTCTCGAGGAAATTCAATGATATATTTTTCAGAATATTTGTACACTCAACATCGAATAACAGAAGAAAAACGTATATTTCGTTGCGAAGATCCAAATTGTAGAAGTGTAAATCGTTAAATCTAATCTTTTAACTTTGCTTGATATTATTTTTTGATCGTTGTCAAACGAATATTCAGATGGAAGTATTACTCAAAGAACCATCTGAACATTCTCATGTACCTGATCCAGATCGGCTGCACCTCATTCGACTTAAAAATGAAATTAAAAGTCGTGGTGCATCATCAGATGAAGGAGCTAGTACGATACTATTTGATGTATTACGGACAATTCCATTAACTATAACTACTGATTTACCTACAAATGACGCATTGTTGCAAACGATTCGATTTGAACGCCCAGCAATGCAACTTGATCATAATGGTCGTTTATCTTTAATATTACGATAAACTGATCGAGGAGAAAGTTTTATTCTATATGAAGATGATTCTATGGTAATATTCACATGTGATAAGGACTTATCAGTTTTAAAGCAGTTAAATTTATTAAAATAAACTTTATCTCATATTGCTATACTGAGAATGAATAGTTACAATATGGGACGAAATGTAAGGGGACAAAATAAAATTGTGACGAATTGTAAGGGGGCAAATTGAAAAGGGACGAAATGTAATTGGGACAAAATGTAATAGGGACGAAATGTAAGGGGACGAAATGTAATGGGACAAAATGTAATTGGGACAAATTGAATGGGACGAAAAGTAACGGGATGAAAAGTAGGGGACGAAGTGTAGGGGTACCATACATGACAAATAGTTTTTTCTTGACTGCTTCTCATGTTTTAAACTTATTTCCCATTCATTAATATTTCTCTTTTTCTTGGAATGAGTAAAAAGTTCCGAAAGAGAACAAATCAATTACGACAAAATTTCTTAAATAGAAAACAGGTCATTTTAGTTAACTACTTAATGATTTATCAATATTAATTGAGAAAAATCAATGATAAAATTAATTTTCCTCGTTTAAAATTTTTGATGAATATTTCTTAATACACAATGTTATTTTAAGAGAAAATAATCAGTAGTATGTCTACAATCTCAATCGATATGGATATTTAATTCTGATATTTGTTCGTCATGTTTACTTTAAGTAGTTTTATAATTATTTCTCGAAATTCTGGCATTGTTTGTGGACCTGGTTTACGAATAATAAGAAGATTATATGGTGGAGAAATCCAATGTAGACGTTGGCTAGATGGATCTTGAATAACACTATGAATAGAAAAAAAAACACAAGTTTATTCTTTAAGATTAATCAAAATTTCAATAATACGAACATAAGTTGATCATTATTTTGTACTTTTTTAAGTGTTCCTTTGGGTCCAAAATTAGATTTTGGTGATGGAGCAAATGCTGAACGAGCACGCCTAAATAATCAAATACAGAAAAGAAAAAGAAAATAAATAATTATTTGAAGAATAAATAATTATTTTTATGAATAAAATTTTGTATAGTTTATGAAAATTTACCTCGCTTTACTACTATCGGCTGACATCGAGATTGATCGTCTCGATGTTGTATTAGAAAGTGGTGATGTCATTATTTTAGTTAAAGAAATTTCACGCCGCAAGCAAATAACAGAATTTAAATGTACAAGAGTGCGTCGATAACAGAACATTGTTTCACGCACATGGAAGCAGAGAAAAGATAAAAAAAACAAGGTAAAGTAAAAGAAAACAGCAATTGTTTTAATATGAAAGCCAAGTATTTTTTTTTATCTATAATAAAAAGCACAATTTAAATCGATATTTCTTTCACATAATAACGGCTCCTTCCTAAGCTAGTGTATTATTCTACTAAAAAAAGATCTCATTATAGGAAAAGCATCGTGTACCTATCAAAACGTTTAAAACTAACCAGCATGTTTTTGCTGTCGCTTGATTGTTACTGTGTGGTAAAGGAACACAAATATAATCATTTTCGTCTGATTGTCTTATATTTGGATTATAGGTTGTAGTTTGATTCTCCCGATAAATTTCAAGTTCATCATTTAGACACATTGGAAGTGAGGATTCACCAACACTAGCGGATCGTCGTTGATAATTAACGTTTCGTTGGGGTGAGTGATAATGAATATTATCATTCATCTTAATTTAGTATTAAAAGGAATTATCGTAAGGTGCATAATAAACAAAATTAATCCAAATTCAATTGTTTTTTTTTCTCGTTTATTTTACACGTAGTTAGATAGAGCTTCACAAGTTGACTGAGAATATGTGTTTTTTAAAATTTTCTTTGAAAGACTTTTGATTAAAAAAATTTATGACTTCTGATAGTTTTGAATAGGTGAGTTTTTCGATTTAAAAAGAAAACAAAACTCCGTTTCATACAGATTATTAAATTGATATGTTTAGAATCATTATGAAAAACTCAGTCGATGATACTAATGTTTGATTCTATTTCAGTATTTTATCATCATAAAATGAACAGAAAGTGATATTTCAATCAGACAGTGAAACTTCGTAAAACTATCTAGTTTTTTTTCTGTATATTATGATAGATCTAACTTTTATATATCATTAGAGTAGTTAGACATTGTACTTCAAAAGTAGAAGTTTCGTTTTCTAAAATATTATTTTATTAGAGAACAAAATTGTTTAATTTTGGTTCGACACTTTGAAAACAGAAAATTTCGCCATTAGTACAAGGTTTTCTTTATTAAAACTCGACCTTTTTTTCAACAAAAAAATAGTAGATTTGGAAGCTGCACGAAAAACTGAATAACGTAAGATACATATTAAAGTGTTTGCTTGATTTGAATGTTTTTTATGAAAAATTTATGGTTTTGTCATGACATCAAAAATCATTTTGTTCGACTCAATTTTTTGTGCTGCTTCTGAATCGATGATTTTTATTGTAAAATAGTCGAGTTTCGATGAAACAAATCTTATATTACTAGCATAAATTTTTGTTTTCGAATTATCTGATCTGAGTTAAACGATGTTTTCTTCTAACAAAATAATAATGTGGAAAACACAAATTCTACTTTTGAAATAGAATATCTGACGAATTTAATAGTATGTAAAAGTTATACATACCAGAATATAGAAAAAAAATCGACAGCTTTACAAAAAATATCTCCGACTCTTTAAAATATCATTTATCTTTCATATGTCTGATGATAACATACTTGAATAGTAACAACAATTTTCAAAGTATATATTAAAAAAATATATAACCTCAGTCAACTCCCCAACTTCTACCTAACTACGTATAAAAAAAAACAAAAAAAAAAATTGTATTGATTTTGTATTTTATGCACATGAGTTGAAATAAAAATACTTGCTTTTAGTTACGTTAGTAATAAAGAAGAAGAAGAAGAAGCAAACTATGACTAAAGTCGATCATATAGTCTATAATTTTAAATATATATGGCATTTTTTTTTCCATTTAAGATTATCATGCAAGAAACACAGTTTGTTAGGAAATTTGTAAGAATATCATTACTGTTTAAATATCGATCTCATTTGCCTTATAGAATAAATTATTTTTTGTTTGTGATCTGTAAAAAAAAAGAACGATAAATTATTTTAGTTTCTTCTAATTTACGTTCGAAATAAAAAAAAAAATAAATGAATAAAACAAAAGACAAAGATTTATCTCGATATATTTTTTTTTTCTTTCTTCTGACTTTATTAGTATGATTTATAATCTACTACAATTGATCAATTTTCATTTTGCCAGCAACACGTTTTTTATTTTGTCCTAGACGATATTCATTATCTACACGTTTCGTTGTACCCAATCGTCGAGCATGAAAATTGAGTGCACCACGTGAACATATAACAGGTAATTGATGATGTTCAGTATTTACTTCTTCATTACTCACAACACTCATTGATGGACATTGAGCAAATGTTCGTGCAGATCGAAGTGCATGTGTCGGCAATTGAAGACGAGTTTTAGGTAAAAGACGAGCTATATGAGCTTTATTTGCTGTTGTTCGTGAATAAATTTTATCATCTTCTTTGATAGGATTTGTTGAAAGAATAGGAAGTTTTGGTTCAATTTTTGTAATTTTCTTTTGATTAAGTTCACGAAGAAATGGATCTTTGAAAACTTTCTTCTTTTTCGATAATTTTTTTGTTAAAATTTTCTTTTTCTTCTTTTTATCATTTATTACTTGTTTCATTATATGTATTAATAATTAGATAATGAAAATCTGAAACAAAAAATTTACTTCTTCAATAAAATGTACAACTTACAATCATTTTTTCCTAATAACGTATTAAAAAGAAAAACAGGAAAGTATCCATCAGAAGTAGTACTGAGTCGAGATGTTTTACTTCTCGATTAGTATACATGCTATTTAAAAGAATATTTATGAAATTTATTTGTCAATTATCGTCATCAATTGGATTGGTAAAAGATTTCAGTATTTGAAAAGGTTGTATTCGCTAGCAATAACAACACAGAATCAACTATTATTCCTACTTCAAAAGAGGGCGCTAAATTACATAGTAGATTTGTTTTTCTGTTAGAATTCACTTTGAACAGAATCAACAAGTTTATATATTTGTTCTCCTTGAAAAGAAAAAAAAAACTTTTTAGTAATACTATTAAAACGGTTCACTTAGATATTGGGTCATAATAACATGAATTTTACTAAAACTAGATTAATATACGATGTTTTCTATATTATCATATTGTGAAAAAAAGCTGATTCTAAAAATAGCAAGACACTTTCGAATCAAGAGCTATTTCAAATTTTTTGAACATATTTTCATCAGCACGAAAACAAAAAAAATTCTGAAACGAAAGTTTCTTCGTTATTTCTATTTTCTGAATTAGTTGATCAACTGTTGAGAAGTGTTGACTGTAAGTCTTGATTACAATAATGATCCCAATGAGTTGCCTACAAATGACTGAATATTACATAAAAATACGGACATTATCATAAAATTCATTAATAAACATGTCTTTTGAAACAGGCACAATAGATACAAGTCCTCATATAAGTTGTATACATTAGCAAGGAGCAGAAGATTTTGAATCTTTGAATACACGGAGAATTTTCAATGTCGAACCCTAAATGAAGAAATATTTATTTAAAAAAGTGGAGATAAAATAGAATTCTGCGACAGCTTTCTAGATTAGTTTTTAGAAATTTTTAATCTTGACAAAATTTAAATTGTGTGTGCCTTTCTCAATATGCATATATGCTCACATTATTCGACATGACGAAGGAGGCGAAAAGTGTGCAGTGCAGTTACTTTGTAGGCAAATTGCTACACCGACATCCATATCTGCTCTAAAGCCTGTAATAGTCAAAATTTTTGACTCTGAAGCCCGACTCGGACCCTAACAAACTTCGAAAACTTATATTGACTAGTATATATACGTCTTTCTTGTACCACTTGTAAATGAGAATGTCTCCGTGATGATTTTTGTTTCTTCAAACTTATTGCTGAATTTATACAGTAGTGCATTTTGGTTCATTACTTCACATGTAAAGAATAAAGTTGTTACTAAGCAAGAGTAAATATACTTATTTTTTTTATAGGTGCAACTCCAGCATGAACTCTTCACAATCACTGTAACTTTGACTCCACTGGAGATGAGTTCGAAGTTCAATGCAAGGTACTAATGTACAACAATGTCCAAGATCTATGCCGATATGTACACACTCTCACTTACAACTAATCATCTTCCGACAGCTGCTCACTCTCGAAGCATGTCATTTATTCGATCTCACTTATTTATTTACTTCAAACATATCAAAGCAGTCTAGCTGATAAAGCATGAGTGGATCAATAAATATAGAACATTTGCGCCACGTTTTCCCTCTCAGTTCCTTTTTTTCTCACATCTCCACGTTCTAATATTCACACTGTCTTTGAAAAAAAAAGATGTCATAGGGAACCATTGAGGGCTTTAGTGAAAATGTTGAGCTTTTTAAGGTACCATTTGGTCATCATCCAACCATCAAAAGTTCTAGAAAATTTAAAGAACCATTCATGTATAAATAGGTTTTAAGCGTTTAGAATAGTTCTATCTCGCACCATTTTTTTAAAAGGTGAACTCCTTTTTAAAAATATAGTTCTAATATAACTCACTGAAACTACAGGGTAAGAAACAAGGTACCAAACGAATTCTCTGAAGTTACACAGAAGTTTACTATACCTTTAGTCTAGGGACAAATGCATGAAACCTCACTAACGAGGGAAGGTTCCCAAGTGTGAATCCCAGTTTTGAATGGAATAGATACTAGTTTGTAGAGTTCGATGAGCTAATTCTCATGGTATGTTCCGTTTTTTCCCATAGGACTCCAAATGAAAAAAAAACAAATCGATTCTACCAGTGAATTTCTTCATTTTGGATAAGTTTCGAGACAATTTTTAGTCATTTGAGACATGAAGAGCACTTAAAGTTTAAATGATCATCTTAAAACATAGGCAATACCACATGTGAGCCTATTATTATACTATTTTAAATGCAAGTTAAGCTCCACCTTCTGGATACATAATAAAGTTTTTTCTCAGAGTCGCTAAAATTCCTACAAGTGTAATAATTATACAATTAATATTCATAGCGATGATTGAATTGAGATTTGCAAGGAAATACTGTTCTTCTATTCTTTTAAATGAATTAATAATAGAATGTCAGATGTGGTATTATCTATGTCTGAACATGACCATTTAAACTTTAAGTATCCTTTTAGTCTCAAATTACTAACAATTGTTTCAAAACTTATCCGAAATGAAGAAATTCACTAGTAAAATCGATTTGTTTTTCTTATTGAGAGTTTTATAGAGAAAAACAGAGCATATCATGAGAATCAGTTCGTCGAGCTCTACAAACTAGTATCTATCCTATTCAAAACTGAGGCTCACAGTCGGTGACCTTTCTTCGTTATTGATATTCAAGGCTCACCATGAATCTGTAAAGAATACTTACAGAACTAAAATAATCTTTGTTGTAGAGGGAAATCGTTGTACAAAGTATTAACCAGACATCATTTTACTGGTACACAGCCTTGAAAGTGCGATATTTTCAAAAGATTCTAAATAATAATTAAACTGTTTCATCATTTGTTTCGTATGCAATTGACGAAAATTTACACATTCATTAGAAATCAAAAACCCTA